AACATAAATGTTCTGCATCCGATATCAAATTTACAGCTAATGACTTCACATGTACCGCTGTCATGGGATTCTCTAGTAGAGGGGCGTATATTTATAGTATTGGCTATATATGACAGGACGCTACCTCCTTTTCTACATCTATGTCTATCACTTCTCAGGTAATGGTATCCCGATAATTCTGGAGTAATGTCTAAGTCATGGACTAACCAAGTTTCTGTAGCTGCTACAATGAGAAGCCTTAATCTGTCCACTAATGCTTCTAGCTCATAGAACTTATTTCTTAGGCTACGAGCGTTGGCATATAAGACTTCTAGATAGAACGGCCTATCCACACAGGCCTTGGTAGCATTCGATTCCAAGACCTGACTATCCGGAAACCCACTAACCGGAGATTTTCCTCACCATTTTGTTGGCGGATTTCTAGTTCAGCTAGTGCTTTCTTTCTTTTTATTCTATCTTCGAGAGACATATCAGGTCTAACTCGGATATCGGAATTGTCGTGACAACGAGCATTACTTAACAGGAGATCCCGTTGCTTCTCTGATCCTAGGATTACCTTAAGGAGTGTGCATGGTCGAGGTTCAGTATTGTCCTCGGTCCTCTTGCCTATTCTAACCAGCTTTTTGACCTGGACTCCTTTAGAGTTATCTGGTAAGATACTACGAATATATTCTCCCAACTTCTTCAAATCATGTGCATGTCTAATCTTGAGATTAGGGTCGTTCGACTCCAGCAATTTGCTCACAATAATATTCGATGATATCAGATTCTTCTTTTCAGTCACATTTGGGTGGTTTTCCCTCTTACTATCGGATTTTGGTAGTGCGTTTTGTCACTCACAATAGGAGTCCACCAGTGACTTGCTAACCACCTGCGCACTGCCCACAATTTTTTTCTTTTCGCTTCGTTTTTTCCGTACTGTAATCCATTTTTCATCCCTCAGGACACCGGGACTATTTGGAACAGTGACGGTCTTATTCAGGTCTTCAGTTTCCATTGGAGGTGCATGGTTACCGATGTCAGTTTTAAGTAGTGCTTCTTCCCTCGTTAATGTTAACGGAGATTTCACTTTTCCGTCAATCAAATTCGGGTGTTTGAGGCATCTTGTAACAGCAGGTACAACACTGACACATTCATCACTGTCAGTGCTCGTGTTATCAGCGCATGCGCTATCGTTTTTCTTACAGGACAAAGCCAATAAGCTCATAGCCTCTTGTATTAGTAATGTCTTATTTGCACAGCAAAACATGTAAAGTCAATGTGTGTTAGGCTTCGAACATCTTTTGTACTCAGTGGGACTTAAACGAGTGCACATCTTATGGAACCACCTTCTGCATTCATCACACTGCATTCCCTCCTCCACAGGGAACAAGCAATGTGGTTGTCCACATTTGTCAGTGCTAACAACCATTTTAGTCAGATCAAGGTGTATAACACAAAATGATCACTAGTGTCAGTCAATGAGGAAGAGGGTACCACAAGACAAACCTTAGCAAGATTTGAAACCTTGACTAAAGTAATTTAATATAGACCAAGAATGCTTTCTCATGCAACAATTACACAAAAGCAAGGATAATCACAACAAGTACAAAATCAACTTTCAGATTCGTGTAGTAAGGACAGAAGGTCTACATCCTATGTCAATCTTTTTCTAGTAAGTTTATGTGAGTGTCTAGTCTTCGCTTTAAAAAGTCAATTGAATGTGGGGCCACCACTGCTTCCAGTAACAGGTTCATAGAAATACTGACCCTGAGTGAAGACCTGCATGCCATGGGTATTTTGTTCGCTCTTGGCTTTTCCACTCTGCCACTGTCCTCCGAGTTGTTCCGATCTTGTAGGAAGAAAAAGAGAGGATCTATTCGGTACAAAATCATTTCTTAATATACCATACATCTGTAGAGCCAGTGAAATGTCACTGGACCCTAGCCAAATCATTCGATAGTCGGGTCACTGAATATTGAACAATTCACTAATCCTAGTCAAGTTCAAGGACAACCAAAGCACTCCATTGACCGGCTTATACGGTTGTGATCGCAGTCTATTCGTTGTATCTGCTCTTACTAATGTATTTCTGGAATAACGCCCTTAGTGTAATACAGTCTTCAGAGCAGCCATAGTACCCTGGTGCAACGAAAGAGTAATCGAAGTTAGATACTGACTGCGAGGTGTGACTTCAAAGTTGGCTGGTTCGTCACACTATTCCCGTCCATCTCCTGTAGGCCCTCAATCATTCAACTCAGGTCATCTGTGTTAGTGGTCTATACATCAAAATCAGATCGCCTCTTAATCTGCTCTAGGACAGAGATGTAGCTTCTCAGGCTGCTCTTTGTATAGTAAAGCCCTGTGATGTGGAATTTCTTGGGTAGATGCACTCTGTACTTTTTCCGGGACATTCGAGTCACCTTTTAAACAAAGGCTCGCAGCCTAAATGCAGCTTACAAGTTTAGATCTCACTTACGTTGTGTATAATGTGGTAAATATATATTAGTATCTAACTTGGTAAATGTCCGTCTTAAAGCACATAGGGTTTTAATCCTTTTAGCTGAGACCTCAGTTCAGAGAGTCGTGCCTCACAGTCACTCCAAGACCCTTGTAAGAGTGGACCGCGGGTACAGGCACTTCCTTTTGCTGAACCTATTTATGTTTTGTATCCTCAAAATGCATATAGATGCACTTGGCCGCATTCATAAGCATCAGACATTTTTTAGACCAGCTAAACAGAACGACTAAGTCCGCCTGTAATAGACATACAGCTGAGTCTCCTGTTATTTATCGCCAGATTTTACACTATGGTAGTGTCGAGTCTCAGTTGGCAGGTTAAGTCCCTCCTAAGGACAGTTGTAGATTTTAGTTAGGACATATCTGTTAGTGATCTTGTGGTATCGAAATAATACCAAGATCGTGCCAAAGTTTACAAGAGAGACTATTGCGCGTACATGAGTAAGTTCTAGGTTACAAACAGCGGAAAAAGTCTGTTTTTGGTACATTTAAACGAAAGGGTACAGTAAAACAATCAGTGGTACACTAATCGCGTTCTCCTCATAAAAGTAGATCACTACAACATCAACAGTGTACAGTAGAATCAGGGACTGGACTATACTTGAGAGTTCACTAACACAGGATAAAATATAAAGGACCTAGTACAAAGCATTGAGACACTCCATTAAGTGCTGAATTTATTCTCACTTTCTGTCAACGACCTATTAAGAAGTCGTCAATCCATTTCTGGAGAAGTTTATTAGTGCCTAGGTTTTCTAGCCTCAAGAGTAGTCTATTCAGCGGCACCTTGTCAGATGCTTTGCTATAGACTATACCGACAACATCCACTAATTTTCCATAATCTAGGGCCTTTATTTATTGCCCTTTCGCTAAAAGATATTTATTGTGCAAGATAATCCTACCCTGGAACCCTTTTGTTTGTTGTTTAACAAGTGGTTGATTTCTACAATTGTCAGTGTGGACTTTCTGATTAGTCATTCCGGTATTTTAACTACGACACTGATGAGGCTGACAAGCCTGTAGTTTGACTGGAGTTATCATGATCCTGTTTCATGTATTAAAGTGACAACTTCATCCTTTCTGTCCATAGACAATCTACATTGGCCACGAGACATTTCTAATATCGCAGTCAATGGAGAAACGATACACTGTGAAATCTGTCTCAAGATCTTAGGGTGCAGTTCATCCGTTTCTGTTAACCTTCCCGTGCCTAAGGTGCTAAGAGTCCTGAGTGCATCGTCTTTATCAGAGTTCACGGTGAGCAGACGATATATTGACTTTGCATTTAGGTATAGTTCTTCGTCCAAAAGAGGCTTTTGGTTGGAAACTGTCCCGCAGTAGTTTGCCATGACCTCTGCTTTATCCTGATTTCCAAATCGTTTGAGACCCACTTCTTTCTGTAATCAGGTCAGAATACAATGCTCCGTACTTATTCTGTAGTTTACGCTCGAAAATCGTCTCTTCGGCTGCTACATTACAGACCGTGACAATAACTTTTCATATTTTCCGCGAGCTATCAGATTGTGCTTATACACTTGTTTCGGACTGACCTGTAGCGTTCCATCGCGTTCGCTGTGTGGAAGCTGATGGTGACGTTCCAACACTTCTTTGTTGTTTCAGTAAACATCGAATATCTCAGTTTGTTGAGGGATGGCCGTGCTTTTTCTCCTTTGGAACTGGTTGAGTTGCGTCAGACGCAAAGGTTTTACTCTGTTTCATTACAAAGCAATATATGGACTCACATTGATAACCTCCTGCCTAATCATGGTAAATGAATCAGTCTACAGATTCATAAACAACGCATATACACTGCTTACAGCAAAACGTCAATAAATATTGCGTTCTAAGTTTTCCACAGTACGGTATAATTTATTATAGAATAGGTTGTCAATACCTATTCGTAACTGTGACACTATCATGAAGTTCAAAAGGCTAATGACACTGTTACTTGATACTAAAGTGCTTCAGAACTTCGTCTCACCAATGAGACAGTTTCTTATGAACCGCCTAACATCCAGACTGATCATGAATATAACGGACCCAAGTGTCATTGATATGAATATAACCAAATGATAAGACGCAAGGTTTGCCCTCTCTCATTATCCATTTATTATTAGTGATGCATTTGTGTTCCTACTCCTCACTTTCAGGTTCCGAATCTCTCTGATGTTTGAAATCACGTTATTCCTCTTAAGCGTCATGTTCTTTTTTCGATTACAAGTAATATTAATATATTTCTGCCAAAGAAGATGACGCACTAATCTCATGGATGCTGATCAACTGTGACCGATCACAAAATGCTTATAATATCTTAAATCCTAGTGAGTAGCTCAATGTTTTGTTTTCTTACTAATCTGGAGCATCTTCTCACATTTCACTCTAGCAACAAGAGTCAGTATGAATTTAATGTGATAATTTATCATACCTATGTTTGTTCCGCTACAAAATGTTAGGTATTGTCTAATGAGTTGTAACGCCAACATTGCAATATGTCCTTGACAGCCTTTAAAAGAAAGCCGGTTGATACAAAAAATCTTTGTGTTAAGGTCAAGCGGAATTATCGAATTAAGCCCCAAGATGGTAAGTCCGTTCTTCCTTATACATACTCGTGCTTATAAAGTGAGTGATAAGATTGCGCACCTTTTGTAATGATTGGTTCTATTTCAAGGTATTTGTTTATTTTGTTTGGTCTAGAATGTTCAGGATATCAATTTAAAATTAAAATTTGTACTTGATTAAGTAAGGTTTACAGAGACTAAAATTCAAGCACATGGACTAATGTCGAAAAATCTGTGTCTCCAGTTTCCTAATGCTGGCATCGCACGTCCTAATTTCAAAAGTATAATTTCCATAATATCTATTAAATTTAAATTAATCAAAGTTAGAGCTAAGGACATTCAAGTAGGTTATCACACTGCGTTCATATGTGCTAGTACAGTTAATGTACTAACAGAAGCACATTGTTGTGTTGTTTTGCTATGATAATACATTTTTTTCCTGTAAGTTTTACATCCCTCATGCGCCATCCACGATTAAATATTAGTAACCTCCGAACATTCTTTGTTTTTAAAGTCCTATTTTCATTGTAATGAAGTGAAACTGAGCATACGACGAGACGGTGTATCTGTGCCCTAGTTGCCAGACCGACATTTCTACGCCATAGATGATGCAAGTTAATAAAAGCCAAACAAACTTTCTGATTTTGTGCCAATTGTTTGTCAACCACCAAACTGTCATGATTTCTGTGATTTTTGAGATTTGTAAAGGAATTGACCTGCTCAAATTCATGCTATATGACTAGTTTGGGCGTTGATGCATACTAGTCATGAGGCAGCAATTTGTATTTTGAGAGAGACAAACTGAATTTCAGACATGCTTACATTTTTGCTTGAGGCAATAAAGAAAAGGGAATTTTTCAGCTTTTGCAAACATTTGTGAACTGTAGGTCGATGAGGAAGCTTTTAGGAAGGAGGTTTATTCCTGAAACGCCGAATGATGTTTTTTGGACTCTCAGTATTTTCCTCACTTGGGTTTCTAAAGAGCGCTAGTAACAACATAATAAGGAAATTCCGTTTGCGTCAAAGACGAAAAGTGCTTCTTATTAGCATTGCTTGTGGCTTAACAATACCTTACCATGTTCTTAGACGACTACGCGTAATTTCAGAATAGGAAGTGAGGGATATTTTTCAACATAGCTGCTTGAGTAGATAATGTTTTATTCATTTAAATACAACTACGGATGTTCGAGTAATAATATTTTAGTTTTATGATAAATTTGCTAGATAACCATTCCAGACACTAACACTAAAGCTATTGGTTGAGAGTCAACTGCTATTATTTATCTATTTATTTGAAAACATAAATACATATGTGTCACACAATAACGATGAGAATCCAAACAGATAGAAAATATAAGGTGTGTCATGTCACGGCACTATTTCATATACTGACCACCTCTCAGATTTTTACAAGCAATCACCAAATAATGCACGACGAGGAATTCTCTAGGACGACATTCGTAAAACATGTCCAAGTCATCGAAGTCGATGTTTCAAGATGGTGACACCAATTAAATTATTGTTTCTGTGCCCAAACACGCGATGCCGAACTTCTGCATTACTAACATGGTGTTGCCACTGGATTTCAGCAATCCTTCGGAGACAATGATGATCAAACACAGAGTTGTCTAATATCCTTAACTCGGAGAGGCCAGGTTTCACAAGCATAGAGCAAAACTGCTTTCACCAACGCGTTGTAGATCCGACCTTTTATAACCAGACTAACATCACTAAGGCGCCAAAGATGGCCCAGATTGGCATAAGCCTCTCTGGCTTTCACCATACGTGCATTGATCTCATCACTCACACCACCACCAGCACTTATGCAGCTACCTAGATACACGAACTTCTCGACTACTTCTATCTGCTCACCATCCAGAGTGAGTACAGGATTAGAATCCTGCCAGTCTCGTAAAAGTACTTTGCACTTCGAGGGTGCAAAGCACATACCATACCTACGGACACTGATTGCCAACTGATTAAGTGCGGATTGCATGGCTTGGGCATTCTCGCACAATAAGACAATATCATCCGCATACTCAAGGTCGAGAAGTTTTTCTCCAGGCAACAGATCCACACCGCCATTACTTACATCCATCAGAGCTGTTTCCAGAATGTCATCGATGACAAAGTTGAAGAGGAATGGTGAGATTGGGCAACCCTACCTAACCCCACTGCATGAATGGAATAATGGAGAAAGGTGGTTGTATGCCCTCACTCTGCCTGAGGTGTTTGTGTATAGGGCTTCTAAGATGTTAATAAACTTCTCAGGCACACCTTTCTTCGATAGACAATCTCAGAAAACAGTGCTATCCAACGAATCGAAGGCAGCCCTGATATCAAGAAACACTACGATTGTTGGCCTGTGATAAGTATGACGGTGTCCTAACATTTGGCTGAGGGTGAAGATATGATCAATACATCCTCGACCAGAACAGAACCAGCCCAGTCAATGTTTCTCGGGTTTTGAAAAATCTACGAAGTATAACGGAAGCCAATAGCTTGGACGCAATCGGAAGTAGACTTATCCCGCGATAGTTGTTACAGGAGCGACGTGAACCCTTTTTAAAGATAGGGACAACTATCGACTCATTCCATGACGTTGGTACACTCTCTAGTTCCCAGACCTTTGTGAACAACGTCGTCAGTCCCTTAGTCAGAAAGTCACCATCATCTTTAAAAAGGGCCAGAGGTAAGTCGTCTGGGCCCGGTGATTTGTAACGTTTCAAGAGTTGGAGTTCCTTGTGGGCTTCCGTTTCATTTGGTGGATCAGTCGTCACCGGCCATGGAGGGCAGGACAGTCTGACCGATGTTGCCGGAGCAGCAGGCCAGTTGAACTGCCCTTCGAAAAATTCTGCCCATCGTCCAAGACGTTGATGGATGTTAGTGATTGGCGTTCCATCATCCTCGCAGATTGTTTCGCTCACACCGAACTTCCTGCTGACAGTTGCTCGAATGAGTTGAAAGAGCTTCCGGCGGTAACCGGATGCAGCTGCTGCTTCCGACTCATTAGCACACTCCGACCACCAGGCTTCTGGGCCTTACGCAAGCTTTGCCCGATTTCATTACGTAACATCCTTCGTCTGTGGTCAGACTCACGGTCACCCGGAGTAGACCGACGGGCTTCAATGAGTTGTAAGGAACCAGAAGAAACCCAGTGCTTATAAGCGGGACGTTTCGCGAACCCACAACTGACTTTACCCGCCATTTTCATGGCGTCATGCAATTGCAACCAATGCTTATCTATACTTTTCGGTGGAATGGTAGCTAGCCTAGAAGCTAGCTCGATTCGATACTTACTAGCAACAGAAGTTGCAACCAGCTTGCTAACATCAATCCTTTGGTGGCGGTCACTTCGTCGTCCACTGAAAAGTAAGGTAAGATTGTCGCAGACCAGGGTATGATCAGAGTCCAGATAGGTACTCCAAAAGGAGCGGCAGTCTAGTACACAACCACGCCAGCGGTAGCTGATCGCGATGTGATCAATCTGAGTCCAGGCTTGAGATGCAGAAGGGGGACGCCAGGTGGCACATCAACGATGACTGTGCCGAAAGTTAGTGCTAGCCAGAAACAGGTTGTGGTCTGTGCATAGTTGCAGTAGACGTTCCCCATTATCTGTCCTGCGACCAACAAGTCCCCATCGGCCACCTAAACGACTCTCTTCTGTGCCTAGACGCCCGACCTGAGCACTCAAGTCTCCGGCTAGTACTACAATATCTGTCGAACGCACTTTTTGGAGAAGAACAGTCAAGTGGTGGTGGAATTCATCCTTGATTTCATCCGGGCTGCAATCTGTCGGGGCATAGGCGGAGATGACGAAAAGACATCGTTTCTCACGCCGATTTCTTCTCACTTTGATGGAACTTTCTAATCTAACAGCACATAACCGACTGTTAATGTTGATCCAATCGATTAGTGCTGCCTCAGCTCTAGCGCTTAGTGCGACACCGACGCCAGCAAGACTAGGCGAAGATGCCACAGGGTCCCCGGATAAACGCACATAAAACAAGCTTTTTGAAGTGACAGATGGAGAGCGAATTTGCAGTACTTCAACAGAGTCTTGAATACGGGTCTCGGATAGACAACAAACGTCAATATTAAGACTTTCCAAAGACATAGCCAGCCCTATCTGTTGTCCGACCTGCATTAGTGTGCGAACGTTGAAGGCAGCCAGTTTGAATGGTGCACGTGGTTTCAGAAAAACTGCTTCAGTACTCGTATTCGGTGGTAACACACAATTTTCAACCAGTCGGTAACTCGAGACCGTATAGATATAACTGGGTTTCTGTTATAACTTGTGATCTGCGTGCCCTGTTAATGGATAAGTAATGATATCTCCAATTAGGGAGCAGTGACTTACCGATCGGGTCAATGACGCGTAAAACCCATACGAGCAGTCTAGAGTCTTGATTGGTCCTGCTTCCCACTTAGCCCAACCAGTTGAGTCCAGACCACCAATCCGATATGAATCGTGTATTTCAAACATACTTGGTTTATATATCAATCAAACAGGCCACAACGTACCATACAATATAAAATAACATTTGTACAAAATTGGGCCAAATGTGGCTGTGAATGTGCGAAGCAGTGACTAACAGACAGGACATAATTCAAGAATGGTAAAACGTATAATAATGGTTCATAGGTCAAAATAAAGCTTATAATTAGAGAAATATGAACAGTTTAGTCATTTAACAACTATACGATAAAAATATACGTTTAGTATTGGTCCATAAATGGATCCCAAAGTTACCATTCATTATGTTTATCGGGACCTAACAGTTTCCACCATAGGCGAGCAGCTGTATAAGTTGAAAGATAAGGATACAGAAAGTGGGAATAAAAGAGTAGAAAAGTGGCGTAGTATATATAAAATGAATAAAAGTTATCGATTAGATGTCAGTTGTCTGAATTTTAATTGAATTAAAAACAGTATTTCCAGTAGTTAGTTTCATTTCAATTTATTTGTGTGTGGGCTATGATGCTGCCCGGGTGCTCAGACCAAAGCAGGTGGTTTCCTCGGGGCGCACCTCTTGAGCGTTCGACGTAAAGGTCTACTCCACAAGGCAGTGGAGCAACGTCAGGAGATGCAGTCCCATGGCAGCCGGTGACCAACAATAGGTTAGTACGCCATTTGTTCCTTCAGGATACTGGAGCCCATGTGCACCATTGGCTTGGAATCAGGGTTTTCCAACTCCTCTAGGTGGATCCTCCATACCAACCAACTGCGTCTAAGCACCGGAAATTCGTTTCTTGTTCTTCCAACTTGATAAACAACAGTAATACCGCGAGAAGGCAATGAGTAGGACTTTTGTGGTAGTGGCTGTATGGTGTGAACATGTGAGGGCATTTCGAGTGGGTACCGACTCTCCCCACTCTCGGCCGTACTAGGGTATTTGGGGCAGTCGACTGCTGCTCTTAGCTGAAGAACATTGATTAAAGCTAAATCTGAAATTCCTGAATCTAAGCGATCACAAAATTCCGATGGATACATTCTTGTAGTGTCCAAAACCTTTATGTATTTGTAGAGTTTGTTGTATTGAAGCTTTATCTAAACGACAAATAATTTTATGCCCTAGGGCTTTAAAAACTAGTAGTTAAGTTTATTTGTTTACAATTGCTATTCAGTAGCCACTGCAGGACGACAATCTGGTTCTCTTATATGATTTTATTCAAATCTTTTCAGGTTAGTTGTGGATGGTTTTTTTAGCGTGCTGTGTACTGGAAAGTTCCATCCTGACATTGAAAGAACAGTCCTAAAATCAAAAACATTCTTAGTGACTGATATGTCATAACTTCGTCTTCCCACAGAGACTTACTTGCTTGCATATGTTATCCTTCGTAGAGGAGCATAGGCCGCCAACCAGAATTCTCTATCGTTTCCCACATGGAAGATTTCTGTTATTCAAAGTGAAACGCCTTACCATTCCTGTGCCTAATACTTAACCATCAGCACGACTTTACCTTCAAACCCCGTCACGGGTGAAGAAGTAACTTAATGGCTATGGCCCTTCGCTTTCAACCTATTTGTCATAAACTTCGACCCTGTTTCACTCTGTTTGGTTGTCGTAGCCAAATGGTTACACCAGCCCTCACACAAGTAAAGTGTTTCGAAACTGAGGATATAAACCTGTACCTCGTAAATGAGTCATATTTCATCCAAACTATAATGTAATGTGCTTTTGATCTTACGTTTTAAACTAGCTTTCTTACCATGATAAAGTATTAAAGAACATGTTTTCTAGTTAGTATAAATCTGCTGGTTCACTGTGGTGGGTAATCTCAACCAACATGATATCAGCTTGAGATGGTGGAGAAGATTTGTAGCTCAGGTGGATGATTTTGGTGGTGTTTTGTTCTCTGAGCTGGATGGTTTGGTCGTGAAGCTTTCATCGTTCTTCTGAACGACATCATCAGCACAAACTTCAGATAGAAGTGAAGTGTTAGAATTTCTCCATATGCGTTTCACAGCTTGTTCTGTACACCTTGATGTTGATTGGTTCCTATTGACCTTACATTTATCATTGTAAACAACCAGTCAACAGAACAAGCTGTGAAACGCATATGGAGGAATTCTAACACTTCACTTCTATCTGAAGTTTGTGCTGATGATGTCGTTCGGAAGAACGATGAAAGCTTCACGACCAAACCATTCAGCTCAGAGAACAAAACTCCACCAAAATGCCATCAGCTTGCTAAAGAACGGGATACTTACTGACTCTTCCCAAAGGTCATTTTTCGTGGTTTAAAATTAATATTGAACTATCACAATTGATTGATCACTGGGTGACCAATGTCATGCGTGTCTAGTCCTTATTATTAGTGCAGATCGAACGCTATCGATCATGTTGCAATGTGGCCACCAGTCTAGGTGACTCGACACTGCGGGCACTATTGTGAGATTAGATGGTGATTGGAGGTAGTCGACAGGAGTCGAGTCACCTAGACTGGTGGCCACATTGCAACATGATCGATAGCGTTCGATCTGCACTAATAATAAGGACTAGACACGCATGACATTGGTCACCCAGTGATCAATCAATTGTGATTACATCTCAGTCCTACAGGAGGTCGGTCGCGGCCCGGATAGCTCAGTGGTAACGTCTGTGACTGTGAAGCTGGGTGACACGGGATCGAATCCGCCAGGGAGCACCAGTTCCCTCGAAGATTACAGGTACACCTTGCTGACGAGTGCCAAGTAGCACGAAACCCGGGTCCAGGGTTTCCTGTCGACTACCTCCAATCACCATCTAATATTGAACTATGTCTGTTCATTGTCGTTTTAGTGTCTAACTGTAAGTAAAATACTTAAACACAAACATCGCTCTCCTAAGTCCTTTCCATTCGTTCAGTTTATTAAAGGTGGTCGATAGTTATCATCAGAGGTAATAACAGCAAGTAGCGTGTAACTATAATTTTTACTGCCGTTATTCCTATCCAGCTGGTAATTATCAGTTGCCTTTTCTTGGGACTTCATCTTTCATCTGGAGTTCCGTTTGATAAGTAGTTTGGGAGCCGCATAGTCATATCTAGTTATATACAGACTTTTCCTAACACATACAACAAACCTAAATATGTACGGGATATCCATAAATAGATAAACCTACAATACTGATCTCAAATGCCTATTTTACGGGTTGCCAGTATCGAAAACCTGACTGACCAATTAATTAGATTCATTCATGAACTAAGTCGTTTGAGATGTATTATTTTCCAAAACTTGTTGGTTATGTGATGTATCATTTCACCTAGTTGACCAGTTAGGACTAAATATTAGTTATTCACGAAAGATTTTTGTTCTGTTTTGTATTTTAGAAAATTGTCTGTAGCATTCTGTTTCTATTTGCTTTGTCAGTGAAAGGTAAGTCACTGAGTGTTTTTCGTAGAAGTTTAAGTTTATTATATTTTTTGGTGGTATTATGCTTTAAGTTTCTGAATCTAAATAGTGATGCCAAGCCGCTCCTATTTTCCTCTTATTTCTTTATGTTCCGTTGATTATGTAACGTTCCATTTTCTTTCTTCAATTTCATGCTTCAGATACTTTCTTATACTTATAATTTTTACTGTATGTAGACCTAAAAATATAATCCTGCTGTAACTCTGAGTAAAGGTAGTTTTATCATCAAATCCCTACTGAGTGTCTACCTAATATTCAGCTCATTCTTAAGTTCTGTTAATATATTCAACCGACTTTCTATCAGTTTTTGGTATAGATTCGTCCATCCAATCAGTATAGATCAGAGAGATTTATAATTTTAGAGTCTGGATTGTCTGATGAAGAAAGATGTGCCTGAGAAGTTTATTAACATCTTAGAAGCCCTATACACAAACGCCTCAGGCAGAGTGAGGGAATACAACCACCTTTCTCCATTATTCCATTCATGCAGTGGGGTTAGGTAGGGTTGCCCAATCTCACCATTCCTCTTCAACTTTGTCATCGATGACATTCTGGAAACAGCTCTGATGGATGTAAGTAATGGCGGTGTGGATCTGTTGCCTGGAGAAAAACTTCTCGACCTTGAGTATGCGGATGATATTGTCTTATTGTGCGAGAATGCCCAAGCCATGCAATCCGCACTTAATCAGTTGGCAATCAGTGTCCGTAGGTATGGTATGTGCTTTGCACCCTCGAAGTGCAAAGTACTTTTACGAGACTGGCAGGATTCTAATCCTGTACTCACTCTGGATGGTGAGCAGATAGAAGTAGTCGAGAAGTTCGTGTATCTAGGTAGCTGCATAAGTGCTGGTGGTGGTGTGAGTGATGAGATCAATGCACGTATGGTGAAAGCCAGAGAGGCTTATGCCAATCTGGGCCATCTTTGGCGCCTTAGTGATGTTAGTCTGGTTATAAAAGGTCGGATCTACAACGCGTTGGTGAAAGCAGTTTTGCTCTATGCTTGTGAAACCTGGCCTCTCCGAGTTAAGGATATTAGACAACTCTGTGTTTGATCATCATTGTCTCCGAAGGATTGCTGAAATCCAGTGGCAACACCATGTTAGTAATGCAGAAGTTCGGCATCGCGTGTTTGGGCACAGAAACAATAATTTAATTGGTGTCACCATCTTGAAACATCGACTTCGATGACTTGGACATGTTTTACGAATGTCGTCCTAGAGAATTCCTCGTCGTGCATTATTTGGTGATTGCTTGTAAAAATCTGAGAGGTGGTCAGTATATGAAATAGTGCCGTGACATGAAAGAAAGATGTACAGTAATGGCGTCTGTTGGACCTTCACGACTCTCTGATTCGGGTCCTAATTATGGTGCAACACAGTGGCTAGAGACGTTATCAGATATGGCTCAGAATAGAAGCCAGTGGCGATCCTGCTGTAACCTTCTTTTAATTTCTTCGTAAAGTGTGGTTGTTTCTTACTTAAGTGTAAAATTTCCTCTGATTATACCTTTTCGTTTCCCTCATTTTTTATATGATTCCCTACGTTCCTTACTGTTTAATTTTCCTTCGCTTTAAATTCTCATTGTTTTGTTTGGCGCATATATATTTGGTGCCCCTTTTGTACCAATATTTATGTGTCCAAATAAATAAATAAATAAATAAATAATCTTCTGTTTTTTAGGGAAAAATACAATTTAACTTATTTCTGTCACAGAAATGCGATTCGAACCTTCGAATTTCAACTACTAGTTCGTAGGTATGAACTGTACCTTAAGTAATTCAGTTAAAACACCTGAGTAGTGTCACTAACCTCTCTATATACAGTGTCACTCAATATTGAGTACATAAATTTGTTTCGTAAATGCTCAGTCTAGAATGTTGTAACAATGTGTTTTCATTATTTCGAGAGTGAAACAGATCAATGATCATACACGAAAAATCAAAAAAGATCCATGACATTTTGTAAAAATGTATGGGAATTGAGAGCATTTATGTGAGATTTTATCTTCAAGCTTCCAGTTTATTTCCATTTTGTTATTTTTATCCGTTTACTAGTGTAAAATCCATGTTTCGGTTTCTTTCATTTGCAGTACAAATACTTAAATCGTATTTTCAAACCACTTCTCTTTTTTTAATTTCCTGACTATTAAAAATAATATATTTTGGGGATGTACAGGGTTATTGGTTAACTACATAAATATAATAATTATTTTTTAAAAGAGCAACTAAAACAGTAGTGTAGATGTGCAGTGTTGGAAGTCTTTAAGCTCCATTATATGCAATACGTATCCACCATTTGAAAAATGTATGCTTCAAAATTAATCTTAGGTCCTTTACTTCACTCGCTGGTTAATGATGTGGCCGCCAAAATCTTCCCAACGTTCACCTATCGCACTGAAAGTAGCTTTCTAGGACAATTAGCTGTGAAGTATAGGTGGTATGGTACAATTATGTCTACTTATTTTAAATATATATAATTATGTACCCACTTTATCCATCTAACACATTGTTTATGTTCAATATTCTAATTAGCTTCAATTAGCCCTTGATATTTTCTAAAAACAGCAATTTTCAGTTTGAGGTTGTGGAGATTGTTGAATTTCATCAAAATTATGAACCGATCAATGTTAAATCACCTGTGAAACCTGCAAACACTGGATGGCCGTTTCATCCTAGTATGGGACTATTTATTTATTTATTTATTTGGACACATAAATATTGGTATAAGGGGGCACCAAATATATATGCGCCACACAAAACAATGAGAATTTAAAGAGAAGGGAAAAAAAGTAATGAACGTAGGGAGTTATAGAAAAAAAAGAGAGAGAATAATAATGGGGAAACGGAAGGTACAATTGGAAGAAATCTTTCAGTTAAGGAAGAAGTAACCACACTTTACGAAGAAATTAAAAGAAGGTTACAGCAGGATCGCCACTGGCTTCTATTCTGAGCCATATCTGATAACGTCTCTAGCCACTGTGTTGCACCATAATTAGGACCCGAATCAGAGAGTCGTGAAGGTCCAACAGACGCCATTACTGTACATCTTTCTTTCATGTCACGGCACTATTTCATATACTGACCACCTCTCAGATTTTTACAAGCAATCACCAAATAATGCACGACGAGGAATTCTCTAGGACGACATTCGTAAAACATGTCCAAGTCATCGAAGTCGATGTTTCAAGATGGTGACACCAATTAAATTATTGTTTCTGTGCCCAAACACGCGATGCCGAACTTCTGCATTACTAACATGGTGTTGCCACTGGATTTCAGCAATCCTTCGGAGACAATGATGATCAAACACAGAGTTGTCTAATATCCTTAACTCGGAGAGGCCAGGTTTCACAAGCATAGAGCAAAACATGTCCAAGTCATCGAAGTCGATGTTTCAAGATGGTGACACCAATTAAATTATTGTTTCTGTGCCCAAACACGCGATGCCGAACTTCTGCATTACTAACATGGTGTTGCCACTGGATTTCAGCAATCCTTCGGAGACAATGATGATCAAACACAGAGTTGTCTAATATCCTTAACTCGGAGAGGCCAGGTTTCACAAGCATAGAGCAAAACTGCTTTCACCAACGCGTTGTAGATCCGACCTTTTATAACCAGACTAACATCACTAAGGCGCCAAAGATGGCCCAGATTGGCATAAGCCTCTCTGGCTTTCACCATACGTGCATTGATCTCATCACTCACACCACCACCAGCACTTATGCAGCTACCTAGATACACGAACTTCTCGACTACTTCTATCTGCTCACCATCCAGAGTGAGTACAGGATTAGAATCCTGCCAGTCTCGTAAAAGTACTTTGCACTTCGAGGGTGCAAAGCACATACCATACCTACGGACACTGATTGCCAACTGATTAAGTGCGGATTGCATGGCTTGGGCATTCTCGCACAATAAGACAATATCATCCGCATACTCAAGGTCGAGAAGTTTTTCTCCAGGCAACAGATCCACACCGCCATTACTTACATCCATCAGAGCTGTTTCCAGAATGTCATCGATGACAAAGTTGAAGAGGAATGGTGAGATTGGGCAACCCTACCTAACCCCACTGCATGAATGGAATAATGGAGAAAGGTGGTTGTATGCCCTCACTCTGCCTGAGGTGTTTGTGTATAGGGCTTCTAAGATGTTAATAAACTTCTCAGGCACACCTTTCTTCGATAGACAATCTCAGAAAACAGTGCTATCCAACGAATCGAAGGCAGCCCTGATATCAAGAAACACTACGATTGTTGGCCTGTGATAAGTATGACGGTGTCCTAACATTTGGCTGAGGGTGAAGATATGATCAATACATCCTCGACCAGAACAGAACCAGCCCAGTCAATGTTTCTCGGGTTTTGAAAAATCTACGAAGTATAACGGAAGCCAATAGCTTGGACGCAATCGGAAGTAGACTTATCCCGCGATAGTTGTTACAGGAGCGACGTGAACCCTTTTTAAAGATAGGGACAACTATCGACTCATTCCATGACGTTGGTACACTCTCTAGTTCCCAGACCTTTGTGAACAACGTCGTCAGTCCCTTAGTCAGAAAGTCACCATCATCTTTAAAAAGGGCCAGAGGTAAGTCGTCTGGGCCCGGTGATTTGTAACGTTTCAAGAGTTGGAGTTCCTTGTGGGCTTCCGTTTCATTTGGTGGATCAGTCGTCACCGGCCATGGAGGGCAGGACAGTCTGACCGATGTTGCCGGAGCAGCAGGCCAGTTGAACTGCCCTTCGAAAAATTCTGCCCATCGTCCAAGACGTTGATGGATGTTAGTGATTGGCGTTCCATCATCCTCGCAGATTGTTTCGCTCACACCGAACTTCCTGCTGACAGTTGCTCGAATGAGTTGAAAGAGCTTCCGGCGGTAACCGGATGCAGCTGCTGCTTCCGACTCATTAGCACACTCCGACCACCAGGCTTCTGGGCCTTACGCAAGCTTTGCCCGATTTCATTACGTAACATCCTTCGTCTGTGGTCAGACTCACGGTCACCCGGAGTAGACCGACGGGCTTCAATGAGTTGTAAGGAACCAGAAGAAACCCAGTGCTTATAAGCGGGACGTTTCGCGAACCCACAACTGACTTTACCCGCCATTTTCATGGCGTCATGCAATTGCAACCAATGCTTATCTATACTTTTCGGTGGAATGGTAGCTAGCCTAGAAGCTAGCTCTGTTCGGTACTTACTAGCAACAGAAGTTGCAACCAGCTTGCTAACATCAATCCTTTGGTGGCGGTCACTTCGTCGTCCACTGAAAAGTAAGGTAAGATTGTCGCAGACCAGGGTATGATCAGAGTCCAGATAGGTACTCCAAAAGGAGCGGCAGTCTAGTACACAACCACGCCAGCGGTAGCTGATCGCAATGTGATCAATCTGAGTCCAGGCTTGAGATGCAGAAGGGGGACGCCAGGTGGCACATCAACGATGACTGTGCCGAAAGTTAGTGCTAGCCAGAAACAGGTTGTGGTCTGTGCATAGTTGCAGTAGACGTTCCCCATTATCTGTCCTGCGACCAACAAGTCCCCATCGGCCACCTAAACGACTCTCTTCTGTGCCTAGACGCCCGACCTGAGCACTCAAGTCTCCGGCTAGTACTACAATATCTGTCGAACGCACTTTTTGGAGAAGAACAGTCAAGTGGTGGTGGAATTCATCCTTGATTTCATCCGGGCTGCAATCTGTCGGGGCATAGGCGGAGATGACGAAAAGACATCGTTTCTCACGCCGATTTCTTCTCACTTTGATGGAACTTTCTAATCTAACAGCACATAACCGACTGTTAATGTTGATCCAATCGATTAGTGCTGCCTCAGCTCTAGCGCTTAGTGCGACACCGACGCCAGCAAGACTAGGCGAAGATGCCACAGGGTCCCCGGATAAACGCACATAAAACAAGCTTTTTGAAGTGACAGATGGAGAGCGAATTTGCAGTACTTCAACAGAGTCTTGAATACGGGTCTCGGATAGACAACAAACGTCAATATTAAGACTTTCCAAAGACATAGCCAGCCCTATCTGTTGTCCGACCTGCATTAGTGTGCGAACGTTGAAGGCAGCCAGTTTGAATGGTGCACGTGGTTTCAGAAAAACTGCTTCAGTACTCGTATTCGGTGGTAACACACAATTTTCAACCAGTCGGTAACTCGAGAACGTTAAGATAGAGCTGAATTTCCACCATAGGCGAGCTGCTGTCTAAGTCGAAAAGGTTACATAAAGTGGGAATAAGAGAGAGTGGATAAATGTCGTAGAAAATAATAATAATAATATTAATAATATTAGTGCGAGTCATATCATTGTTAATCGGAGCGAAAGGAACATTTTCCATAAGTAGTTTATCATGTTTTTGTGTGTGGTCTGAGATACTGCCCGGGTGCCCAGACCGAAGCAGGTGGTTTTCTTAGGGGACTACACCCCGAGCATTTGACCTAAAGGTCTAGTCCACAAAGCAGTGGAGCATCGTGAGGAAATGTAGTCCCATGGAAACCGGTGACCAAGAAATTGGTTCATACGCCATTCGTTCCCTCAGGCAGGATACTGGAGCCCATGTGCACCATTGATTTGGGATCCGGTTAAAGCGCCGGACACTCGCTTTTCGTCCTCTCATTTTCGTAAACAACACCCTCGTCACGAGAAGGCAGTGAGTAGGACTTCCCTGGCAGAGGATGTATACGCGTGGCCGTGTAAGAGCATTTCGAGAGGGAGGGCGAACCCACCCAACTCTCGGCCATACCAGGGCATTTGGAGGCAGGATGGGACTCTTGAGCAGTGTGCAGTTACTTATCGAAGACAACGGAAGATAGTCGCGCGACATCGTTGATTGGTTGAATTTAGAAATGAACATCATTGGATGCTGGCTCAGTGGTCTAGAGGTTAGGCGTTAGTGCGCGAAACCTAAGGTCCTGGCTTTGAATCCAACGTGCGGGATCATGGATGCGCACTACTGCGAGGATGGAACGGCCGTTCAATGCTTCCAAGTTTAAGTGATGGTCTAGGATTGACAGATTCATGATTTCAATAAAAGTAACAAATTTGTTTCGGGAAAATAAGGCGTTGAACGAAACGTAGCTTATAGTTCTAGTTTTATAATGTTTTGAATAGTCATCGTATTTTACTTCAGCTTAGTCCTATAAAACCTAACTTTTAATTGGAGATGGTATTATTCAAAATTTTTATGTCCATGCATCTAAAAAATATAATGTGGGTATATATATTTAATATGGCTAAAAAAATCTACAAAACAATTATTCTACGTTATAGAGAAAACTAACGAAAATTCATATTATAGAATAATTAACTGAGTGTGTATTCTGGTATTATTGAATATTGATATCCATCATCTTTTAAACTTCGCACTCAGTCAATTATGGATTTTCCAATTTATTGATAATGCTTACTGTGTACTATTACCTGCGTATATTTCATGTTTTAATGCTGTCATTACTTGTATATTTATGTATTTCCTTCTCTCCTGTAATGTCTCATGTTGGAAACACTTGTGATTTACTACCTAATTTCTACCGGATAACAGAAAGTCATAATACTATTATGTTTTTCATTCTATCGGATATTTTCTGTGATGATTGTACAACATCTAACCTTATTTGTGTTTCTTATGTGAATTATGTGTGTTAATATTAACATGCATATACATATGTTTACCAGAAAAGAAAAAATGGAAAATTCTTCTTATATAACATGCAATCTTACTATTATACCAGACAAAGCATTTTGTAATCGAGTATATTATTTGGCGGTTTGACTGTACAGTCTTGACAATCAGTATCTGTAGGATTTGTTAAATACGTAGCCATTTAATGAGTTGTATACAATATAGTGCCTAAAACATATATATATTGATTTAGTAGCAATATCAGTGGTAGTGGCAAGCGAAATACGCCGATTGTAGTTCGAAAGAAACAATTAGCACTTATAGCTTTACTGAATCCTTATTTGGAAGTATCCATAAAAGTTTATATTTCTGTGTTGGGTTGTGAGTAATTAACGGGGACAGATGTATTTGATACTCCCCTTTCACAGAACTTTTGAAATTGTATCGTTGTTTGATTAAGTAGTGTCAGAGACCGTATTCTGACTAGAAACTTCCAGATGTATTGCTAACCACTACTGTTGCATGAGCTATGGAAATCACTACTAGTTACTTTAATGTTTCGTCTACAAGAACCAGAAAGGTGGTGTTATTGATAATACCGCTAAGGTATATATATATATATATATATATATATATATATATATATATATATATATATATATTCCTGTTTTCTGCTTAGTTACTTCTTACAACCGTAAAGCGTTATCCAAACAAATCCTGCACAGTACCTTTCAACTATCAATGTTTGCATTTAAGAAGAGTGAGACTTTTGACGAAATATGAACAGTCTAAATGAATCGGATAATACTTATCTTATGTGTGATTGTTAACAATTAATTATTCTGTAAGGGTTTGATTAATCCACTTTAACCAATGCTTATTGACAGAAGTGCATTATGAGCGGATACCTCGATATTTTCATAAAATAAAAGCGTTCGGCATGTTTTTTTGATTTCGCTGCTACTAGATGTAATCCGAAAAATCCCAAAAGTAGTAATTTTATTGTGAGAAACTGACTTATCAAAATGTTTAGCGAATCGATTTGTGCACCAGAATTCAAAGGTGATCGCATCAATAACTTTTGATTTTGTAATACTCTCTTATTTTAATTTTAGACGTAAGTATCAGTTTAAGAAAGATCATTGACAAGTGCAAAGTGTAAAAGTTCTTTAAAGACTCTATGTACCCAAAAAATAGACAACTGTTTTTTTTGACAGTGTATTAAAGATGTTCTTAAGAAATTTAACAATTTATTGCAAATATATTAGGTCACAGATATGGTAACGTATAGATTAAGTTTTATTACAGGTCTGATTACAAATGATTGGTTATCGTGTAATTTTGAATCAAATCATTCATGTGAATGGATTGACGATCCAAATAATTGGCTTGCGAGTTGGCGCCCAACCTCTTATGCTAGTAAAGGAGATTATTCGGTGAACGAAAAACACCAATTAGTTCTATGTACTCAGTTTAATCCACGTACTAAATCGCGTCATCATCATGGTCAATTCCCTGGTTCACAGAAAATTAATTCACTTGTTCGAATAATTAGTCCACCTATCACTTCATTAGATAGCGTTAAGTGCTTATCGTTCATGTATCGATTCGAAAATTCACCTCATTTTTCTTTGTCATCTAGTGCTGTATTAAATTTACTCCGTCGTTCAGAGGGGTAAGGTTGTTTGTCAAATCGTATGGTAGTAACATAGTAGTTTCCAATGTGCTTTACTCATCTCTTACCACAACATGAATATTTTCCGTTATATGATTGCATCTTATGCAATACAACACTGATAAAAACCGGATAGAAATAAAAGTTTATCCAACGTATATTCTATTTAAATTCATAGCTCGTAATAAAATTCGAACAGTTGAACTTGTTCATCAGTGTTCATTTGAATGCAATCTTTGCGAATGGACAAATGATCAGAGCAGTTGGGAAAGTTATTGAGATTTGACTAGAGTCGAAATTCTGTTAACCAATGCATCCTGTTTTCGGATAACGCATAAACCTAGTAAGACACAAAATTCCTGGTCCATTAGACGGAAAAAATTTCGTTCAGATAAACGAAGTGACTTACTAAACACCAATAGGCTTGTTAATGCCAAATTATGGAGTCCTCTTATTCAAAGTAAAGATCAACGTCATTGTCTTGTGTACAAAATTTTCAAACTACCATCTATTTGTGCAAACAAGGTCAGGTTCTCTTCAAATTCAATAAAAGATGATATTCTCAGTCTACTTACACATCAAGATGGATAGGATGCTTTGGAAAGAATAACAGTAATTTTTTGTTTCTGATAAGATCTCAAATTAATTTTGATCGGTAGTTACCTTGGGAACTGAAAATTCCGACCAATATAACGCATTTGTTGTTGGAGCCCTTTAAAGTATTCTCTTGGTGTCGTTTTCGTTTGAAATCGTTATTATGTGTATATCATCTAGACACTATTTAGCACTTGGTCAGCATCTTTGGTGCCTTATGTATCCGGCTTTCTTTTCTAGCGATTGATCCAGTTTATTTCTGCACTTTCACAAAAAATCTGTGCGATTGGACTAACGATCCAAATAGTTGGCAAAACCATTGGTCTGTGATTGAAGAATCAAACTGGCACACTACTGATAACAATGGCGTATCTCCAACTACATCAGAAGAATCCTATTGCTGTCTTACAAGTGCTGTTTATTTAGGGTCTGATGGTTCAAGCATGGCAGTCAGTCATTCACCATGGATTATCCAACCTCATCTTTTAAATGACCTGCAAGATTCTACCACGAAGAAAGCTATACATTCGAGACTATGGAGTGCATCTATTCCAACCAAATTAGGATTAAAATGCATGACGTTTGTATACTCTATTCAGTTTGGGTCATCAAGTTATCATCAGGATTCAAATCTCTTTTCTGATTCAAATAAGGAAGCTTCTTTAACTGTTTTACAAAGAAGAGAAGGGTGAATAATCCTAAAGTTTGGGTTTTGTATCTTCTTTCACGCACATTTTTGTTAATATAAATTGAAAATGTATTATTTAGGAACCATATAACTCTCCTGTATGTTCTCTGCTTCATAGCTGATTTTCCAGTCAAACCGATTCATATTTGTACATTTAATGGAAGTCTTTGCGGATGGATGAACGATATGAACATTTGGAAACACCAGTGGAAGTTGGTTACAAATAAACAATCAATCAGTAGTAGTGAACAACTATCTACAAGTATGCTTTGCATGAATGCAAATGAAGCAATTCCTGACGATTGGTTTAACAGCTGTTCACTGTCTGATTTACGTAGTCTTTCAAATCCAATGATGAACAAACCTGTTCAAACAAGATTATGGAGTCCCCCAATACAGGCAAAACACAAATTACACTGCCTCACTTTTATGTATCACGTCGATATAGGAGTAAAACAAGTGTTATTAAACAAACAGAGAGATGAAAAACCATCATTAGCCATGCTACGTCGTCAAGAAGGGTGATTTACTATTCAACATTCTTCATTTGTTTTTAATAATTTATTTTATTTGATATGGAGAAGTGTGAGATTTTAGTTACTCAATATTGACTAGCCTTCTATTCAAACTTGATAGTGCGGAGGTTGTCACTTTGTAATTTTACAAAGAATTATTCTTGTTGTACATAAACTACTCAATTTCTCTGATGAACTCAATTTATGTCTCTATGAAAGTTACCTCAACTTTCTCACATAAAGTGTACTGTTCTGTGCATAAGCTGTTTAATAGCTCCATATTTCTTTCTTACTTTCTATATTCAGCAAATGCAAAATTAAATTTGGATAAATTACGTTGTGATGGTGAATCTGATGATCACAAAGGATACTGCAGCTGGATTGTAGATCCTAATGATTGGGATAGATTTAAATGGCGTATGGATAAATTACCGTCAATGGATAATAACCAAATTGTTTCACAACAAGCTATGTGTTTGCATAGATCTGCTAGTCTTAAGACATCTGAAACGTTAACTTCTCGTTTATGGAGTCCGTCCATCGGCATTATAGATGAATCTTCATCGCAGAACGATGTAGATACTTCCATGAATCTCACAGTTGATTTACAACCACGTTGTTTTTCTTTTTCATTTCGTTTCTTTTACCCTCATATTGTTGCGTTCGGTTCATTATCGGAGGAAGTTCGGAGAGTGCCAAATCTTTCTGTTTTAAAACGTCAAAGAGGGTGAGATGATGCTCTCATAAATTTATTTTTTCCGTTCACCCTTTAAGCATAGAGTGAAGTTTCATTGTGACTGTTTGTAGTAATCGTTTATATTAAATTTCTACACCAGTTCTTATCCATTGATAAATATATTCACTTCATGGTGTTTTCAGCTATTCAAGTAATCGAATCGATGGATTATTCTTCTGAAAGCTATATGAATTCGGAATGTGAATTCAAGGAATCAATGTGTAATTGGGGTAACGATCCAAATAATTGGCCAGTAAATTGGCGACTAAACGCAATGAGTTCTAAAGAAGAGCTTTTAAAGAATGGTGAAATATCAAATGTAGAAAGAAATTCTGTTTGTTTATTCTTCCATGGAAAATCAAATAACCATCGGTCTGATTACGATATAACAGCTCGTTTATTCAGTCCAATCATATCAGTTATGAAGCAACCAAGTTGTATACAGTTGATATATAACATACAATATGTTTCTGGTTCATTGAGAGATCACATTAGTTTGAGTGGAAGAGAAATGAATATGTACGGTGTTGATGATAGACTACCTAAAATATCGTTATTACGTCGTCAAATGGGGTGAGCAACTGGAAATACACACACGGAAATATATCTGATATTTTTCCGACTAAAATAGCTTTGAGATCTATAAATTTGTTTTCAAGCTTATCTTTTTAGAATTGTAACCGTTTATCCTATTGATGGGAATTCAACCAAGTGATTTTTTGCTGTGTCCTGTGAGTAACAAGCAATGCCGATAATGTTTTATGTCACTAGCTGTTGATAAACCTCGTGCTCAACATTATTTCATGTGAAGTTGGCTCTTTTTCACACTTCCACTTCATTAAAATATAAATTTCTAAGTAGTTTTAGTCATTCCAAATATGTTGTGTTTCATTCAAGTTGAACTAACTTCTCGAAATCATTTCTTTTTACTTTCCGATTTCGGTTTTATTTTCAAGTGATTTCATAGTTTCCGAATCGATCGGATTATGTAGCTACTTACGCTTGTTTGTTTCAGTGAATTCAACCAACGCCTTTTCGAAAAAATGTCATTAATACATTGTTCCATTTATTTGTTCCGTTCCATATGCAGCTAAATCAAATAGTAATATGGATTTACTGCAGTGCTATGGTGGATATGGTGATTACAAAGGATACTGCAGCTGGATTGTAGATCAAAACGATTGGGGTAGATTTAAATGGCGTATGGATAAATTACCGTCAATGGATAATAACCAAATTGTTTCACAACAAGCTATGTGTTTGCATAGATCTGCTAGTCTTAAGACATCTGAAACGTTAACTTCTCGTTTATGGAGTCCGTCCATCGGCATTATAGATGAATCTTCATCGCAGAACGATGTAGATACTTCCATGAATCTCACAGTTGATTTACAACCACGTTGTTTTTCTTTTTCATTTCGTTTCTTTTACCCTCATATTGTTGCGTTCGGTTCATTATCGGAGGAAGTTCGGAGAGTGCCAAATCTTTCTGTTTTAAAACGTCAAAGAGGGTGAGATGATACTTCTTTAGTTTGATTTTCTCGCTTTTTTTCATTTCATTTTGGAGTGACTTGAAAAAATTTATTTAAGTTTTCCTTGTTTATTTGTCTGTCGATCAGTATACTTTTTATATACATCACTTTAAGGTCATTTGTCCACACCGTTTCTTCTGAACTGCAACTTCTCTCAACCGTGTTCATGGTCAATGGATCAGAATGACTGGGGCCAAGCGAGATGGAAGAAAGAAGTATTACCTTCGGAAATGACAGGGTCATTAGCTCTTGCAGAAGATGTCCTTTGTTTTCAAACTCCAAGAGAAAACGATCTAAATGAGGATCTGTTTGTGGGACGCTTGTGGAGTCCACCTGTTGTTTATATATCTAGAAATCCTCGTTTAAATGATAAAATGAACGTTATAGATCTTAAATGCCTCACATTTTCGTACAATATTTTCAGTGGTTACCCTAATATGCAAGTCAAGCAAGTTCCAAGTCTTGCTCTTTTAAAACGACAACGAGGGTATGCTTATATTACTAGCTATGGCAGTTGTAGGATGTTTATTTACTAAATGGCATGTTGCAATTTGTTGTTCATTTTAAATTTTCCAAATCATGGTTCAATTTGTCATCTCTTCTTTATTATAAAACCAACTGTTCACTCTTTTTATCCATTTATATTCGTTGGATTCCTCTTATCTGATAATTTCTTGCGATTGGTCGAGCAACTTATAAGATGACCTGTAAACGTTATTAATTTTATCTGTTCACCCAACACAAAATTTATTTCCTAGAAATTTGTTGAGTTCAACTCAAACAAAAGTTCCCGCGAACTCTGGAGCTTTGCGATTCTGATCTTTAGTGAGGTTTTGAGTGCATATTGATGAGAAGTTTTATACTAGGACGAAACACCTATCCATTACTCATTGATTCCTAATGGTTTTGTAACCCAAATTCAAAAGGTTCATTTACTTTGAGGCTGTGAATTTTTTTGCAAATTTTACGTTAACTTACTTTCTTGGGGTCCTGATGATTATCGTGATCGATATTTGGAGACGTTTGTTAACATGTTTCCGAATCGGTTGCAATGGTGTTTATTCGTTTACTCTTTTTTTTGAAATACTTGTACTTCTTATTCCCCAAACTCATTTTTCTCGAATCATATTGTTTTTGCTTGATATTTTTTACTACTGATACTGTTATTACTCCCAATTCTCTGGAGTTTGTCTTAATAATTTCATTTCACTGTACTGTTAGATGACTAACTGACCGATTTGGATTTTAAGGTTTGTCTAGGCTAGATGTTTTAAATTTGTTAGTCAACTGGCTGAGTACTGGACTCCTAAATCAGTGAATCATCGGTTTACGCTACTTCTTTACTAGGCTTGTACATATCCCATTCGTAGTGTTACATTTAGACTGAGAGTGTTTCATAGTTACATTACTTCAATCATATTTTCGAAGACAAGAGTCAATCTTGTGTAGATAATTTTTCTTAACATCAAACTGTATCTAGTTATGCATAGATGCATTTACTTCATAAAGTTTTTGGAAAACTTTTTTTTACTTCTGTTGTTATTCTGCTCAAAAACATTTAAATCTGAAATTGCTACTTGTATTTCCAGTCCGAATTCATCGTATTTTACTTGAGGGTAGGTAAAAGAAATTTAGTTAGTGTATTTGGTTAGCTAAATTCCTCTTATTCTAAATCAAATATGTATAGTAAACTAATCTAAATGTAGGAATTTTAATTTAGGTTTAACTAGGACCGACTACAACAATGTTTAGTTGGTGAATGTTCAGATAAAAAATAAAGATTTCAAATTTGTTTACTACGTACAACCTTATCCTATAAATCCGAACTATTAAATTGTTTTAAGCTGCAATAGCACTTTCGTAAGAACGAAGTAGTGGCTCAATAGGGAAATGTTATGTCCGTGGGACCCATTGAATCAAAATTTGTCGAGTAGGAAACTGAACACTGGAACTAATCTTGGAATTCTTATAACCTTTATCGGTTCTAAATGCTTTCTGTGCCAACACTATCAATAAATAATCTTAACCCTTTCCCGCTGAATAACTGTCATTTCTTTCTTTTTTACAAACTTATCTGAAAAGAAACTATCATTCACAGCTTCTATCTTCTTATTTATTAAGGTTATTTACTAATGGACCAGTCATTATCTTGTGATTTCGACAATATTTTAATACCTTTATGCAATTGGCAACATGATTTAAACGATTGGCGTGGACGATGGAAACATTGGATATCGCCTTCTGATAATCGTAACCAGTTAGGAGATAAACATTTATGTCTGGAGTTGAATAAAGAAGATTCTAATGATGATTCTACAGAGGCGATTGACTTAACGGTTCGCCTATGGAGTCAGTTAATAAGAATGAAAAAATTATCTAAGCAACAAAAACCGAAGTGTTTAAGTTTATCTTATCATTTAGACAATGGTTTACTGCAAAACCCGACTGATGATCAGTCACAGCCTAAATTGTCTGTACTAATGCGTCGTGAAGGGTGAGATCATCTACATATTTATGTATACCCACATGTACCTCTGTATAATCTATCCATCTGAATTATCTAGCTATTCTTTATTAATTTTTCTAAATCTATACTTTTTATTTAGATTTCTTATTCTTATTTATCAAATTGTATACCCAACCTCATAGTGAATAAAACTGCTTTTTCTAAATAACTATTCTATTTTGTCTCAACTGATGATATAACACCAAAAGGAATTTCTTTAGTGTTTGTTTACACTAAAATTTATTTGCCCCATATCAGTTGTTCAATTCTACGGCTTAAATCATTCCTTATTTCTGCGCTTTCTTTTATAATACCCATCGAATGTTATAGTCAAAAAGTTCTTGATTATCAATCTTTCCACAGCTATTGTTGATTCATCATCTACGTATTTGGTGCCCTCAGATCAATCAAAAGTGTTCAGTAATTATCAGTCTCACGAGTCACTACTGGATTGCAATTTTACTGATTCATCCATGTGTAAATGGTCTAATGACCAGAATAATTGGCCTATTAACTGGGAGCTTGAATTAACTGATAAATTCAGTACAACTTTTAATCAGAAAAGTTCTGGACTTATTTGTTTATATGCAACTAAATCAATTCAACCGATGGATTTAAGTGCAAGACTTTTTAGTTCACTAATGAGCTCTACTTTCAATAACCTTTGTTTAAAATTAGTTTATACCATCGTCATTTCCAGCCGTACATCTAGTATGGATTCATCAGAAATTTTAACAGACGGAATTTCCGCTTTGCCTAAATTGTCATTATTACGTCGTCAAATGGGGTAAGACGTACTCTTAATTGGATGACTATGCTACTAATACCACTACTACTTTTAAATTATTCAAGAGGAGAGTTGCAACAATGAATATTCTTGCCGATCTTTTAATTTATTCTACTTTTCTTTAGTATTCATTTTTAGTACAACTCAACTATCACTAGCTACCAAA